TGGGATGTCTTGGTGGAGTTGAATGTCAGTCAGTCACTCTACAGTTTGTTTGTTTAGCACACAAAGGTTAAAAGGTTAAAGTCAAGAGCATCAACTTTATTGCACCGGGTTTTATCCCATATGGCTCAGTCCCTCTCCACAGAGCGGCTAACCGTTTGCTGACGACAGTGCACGAACTTCCTAGCTCCGGCGACTATTTCCAGGGATCTTCATAAAAATTGCACTCGTTAACTGAAGGGCGGCGCTGTGAAACGAACCTACGTCCTTCACAGCGCGAGGCGAACGACTTGACCACGGAGACCTCCATGTTTCATATTTCATCTGCCCCAAAATGGGACGCCATTTTTTCTTTGAATCATTTTATAGCCCCCCGTCCCGGCTCTTGGCGGGGCCTTAATTATAACCTGACGGTTGAACGGGGTTTCTGGGTTAGAAACAAGTATCATTTAAGGAGTAACCCGTGACTTCACAGTGAGTTCTTATGTGCTGAATAAGTGAATATTTTGAAAAGATTACTGCTCGAGGTATGATAGTGTCGGCCTCGAATTCTATAGGTGCCGGGTTCAGGCCCCTGTAAAGGCTGATTATTGTTCTCCTGTTCACGTAGACTTTTAGTAGTTTTCCCTGGTCTCTGGATAGTGAAATCGGATGCCCGTGTGTATTGTTGCGCACGTAAACAATCCTTTGGCATTTAGGAATCGAAAAAAGTTGCCTCACGGCGCTGCCCGGTGAAAAATTTAACAAATCTACATAACATATTTCAGGATCCTCGCCAGTTTTACGTAGCCCCTGAACTGCGCTGAGCTACTTCGGACTCACACTTGAGTTAAAACGGAGCACTTTTCGGTTACTACAAGTCACAAACAGAACTGGATGTGACTGAGGAAAAGCCACACATTGATACAGTATATATGACAGAAAGTCGTAAACAGAAACACATGTGGCTGATGAAAAGCTACAGAATCATACCGTTTGAATGACAGAAAGTCACAAACAGAACCATAAGTAGCTGAGAAAAAGCCACACGTGTATACAGTATAGAGGACACACAAGCACAAACTAGATATGGCTGAGGAAAAGCCACATATTTATGTAATATTAGTGGAATTAAGTCATAAACAGAATCATATGTTGCTGAGGAAAAGCCACACAATAAAACAGCGTGAATGACAGAAAGTCGCAAAACAGAACCACGTGTGGTTGAGGAAATGCCACACATTTATACAGTATGAACAACACAAAGGCACAGACATAACTAGATGTGGCTGAGGAAAAGCCAAGAAGACCCACACTGGTCCGCGAGTCACAGGATGAAGAACGTTGGTCTACCTCACAGAGGAGACGAGACCCATTTGTGCTATGCATTCTCAATAAGCCGGTCCCGCTGTCTGGACGTATCACAGAGCTTTAATTAAATTTGTGAAAATGGTCGACTGGCACCTGGGTACCGCAAGTGCCGACTCGTCTGGTGGCCCCTAGTGAGGGCCGCAGGATGTTAGCGTACACACAGGCGAACACTTTGATGAAACATGCGCGCCGAGATGTGAAGACAAGACATCAATGGGTGACATAGATAATTACACACTTACACATATCCGTATCACTACGCCAGTTTCCCTTTAATACTACACACATACACTGAGTAAATCTGTGGCATTATGCCAGCGTCACTTTAATACTAGGCACATACAAACTTACACATCGATGGCACTACGTCAGTGAAAGTTTAATACTACACACATAAACTCTTAACATATAGATGGCACTGCGCCAATTTGTTTTGACCTCCACAAATTCCCTAGTGCTATGAAAGCTCCTCTTGCCTTTTGTATTCTTATTTTAATATTCTATCAGTTCCTCCATCTTTATCTACATTAGTTCCTAAATAGGTGTACGACTCCACGTCTTAGAGTGGTGTGCCATTAAGAGAAACCACATTAATAGTTGCCTGATTTATTCTCATTATCTTTGTTAAAGTCCCATACGTGCAGTTTAAGTGATTTTTCGCGTAAGTGTATTTTCAAGGCTGTTATTTGCCACCTGTCAGTATGCAAAAGGCACACATGTCGAACTCCTAGCAGAAATAAATATAAAATAAAGTACTACTTTTCGAGCAGCTGCAGAATTTTTCAGATATGTTCATACTCAAGTTTTCTCGAAACACGGATTTAGAACTTGTGTGACTTAGCATATCCACAGAATTGTATTGGGGAGCATCGGTCCGTTTCTGCTGTCTGTACAAAGCTATCTTCCTGAAGTCCATGCCGTGTTGCATTGGTAATCTTTTCAGTCAACAACCTTCTGTCTCATGTACTTTCAGTCACTTCTGACACATATGATCGCCCCTACCATCATGTGACACTGTCCTGTCCAGTGTGTTCTCTCCCCCTCTCTCTCTCTTTCTCTCTCTCTCTCTCTCTTTCTCTCTCTCTCTCTCTCTCTTTCGGTCTGTTTCTGCTGTCTGTACGGAGCTATCTTCGTGAAGTCCATGCCGTGTGGCGTTGGTATCTATCCACAACATTCTGTCTCCTGTATTTTCTATAATTACTGACACAGATGATCTTTATTGCTATGTTGTCAAACTGTACAACATTTTCTGTCTCGGTCTGCCTCTGTTCTCTCTGTGGAACTATGTAAAGACACAATTAGAACGCGCACACACACGCATACACACACAGCTCAACAAAAGGGTGTATACAAAGATATAATTAGAGCACAACACACACGCACTCACACACACACACGCACACAAGCAATCAGTACCCCACATTAGTAGAATATTTTCTACACTACTCTTTAATGCCCAATTAACTATCGATTTACACCGTTGTAGATGGCCGGGCTATAAACAAAATTTAGATTAATAAATGATAAGAAGCTTGAGTCTGTCTGGTAGTTGAACGATTTTATTATCGACAAATATATGTAAAAATTATATAATCGACTCTTATTTCAAATCAGACGCTTTTGGGAGGAAATAAATAAGCACTGGCAGAAAGCGAAGAGGCAGCGATAGGAAAACCATCATTGTATTCATTCATGTAACAGGTTCTTTGCAGAACGTCGCTCTTATTACAGTCTGAAAGAAACTTGATCCTTCATTAGGTCTCCCACTTCTTGCACTTTCCTACCCAGGGAGTTGTTCATATCCTGTGCTTATCTGTCCCTGCTCCTCCTGTCTGATACCATGCTTTCTTATGTCGAGACAGGCCCCCGGCCGAAACGTCGATTTGTATTGTTTTGTACACGTGTTTCTGCTTCCTCATTTTGTTGATCTTTTTATTCACAGTTAAGTCAGTCATCCAGTCAGTAGAATGCATTTGCAGAACCTTGCTCCCATAACAACCATAGTCCAAACATATTTGTTTGCAACACAATACCAATATTTAACATAATAATGCAAAATTTCTAAAACATGGGGCATAATACAAAAAGTACAGTTGAGATGAGATAGGCGAGGGTTAGAAAGTATCAAATGTGTACGAAAGCACCAACTTCGGCAGCCCTGCCTTTGGACACGTAAATAGGATGGCGGAAAAGCCAGCGTACTTTGTTTCAGGCCCATCCTTACCGTGTGAGTGGGACGACGGAGACAAAAGACCAACACATTTTAATAAGATCTTATCTGTGAATTTCTTAAACGTACCAAAAACCAAGGGCGTGGTACGAAAAGTACAGCTGAGATCGGCAAGGGTCAGACAGTACTAAAAGTGTTCGAAAGCACCAACTTTGGCACCCCTGCAGTTGGACATAAATGTGTGATATGTATAATGGCGGACAAGCCAGCGTACTGTGTTTCAGGTCCATCCTCACTGTGGAAGTGCAACGACGGAGACAAAAGACCCACCCACACATTCCAGTTAGTTCTTATCTGGCGAAACAAATGTCCCAGCATACAGTGTGTCAATACTGCCGGCTGTTGACTGTACCAGCAACGGTGTTTGGTCCCAGCAGTAGCTAGCAATTGTTCAAACTTTGACCTTTCAACTCGCATCTAAGTTGCTAATCTATAGGTATAGTTTGGTGAATTATTGATGCCATGGTGTATACAGGGTGCCAATATTTGGCCGCCATACTGGCGACTGTTGGTGAAAGCCTATTCTCATTGTGGGTGTCATCTCTCCCCATTCTTTAGGCTTTTGTCTCTCTTCATTCATTCATTCATTCATTCATTCATTCATTCATTCATTCATTCATTCATTCATTCATTCATTCATTCATTCATTCATTCATTCATTCATTCATTCATTCATTCGTTGTCCTCTTATGCCATTATGTGTCATGTAAGGCTCGTGTTCTCTTCCTTCATTCCATTCTATCGAGTTCAATTAGTTCGATGTTATAGTTAGAATCTAGTCCAGAACCTTTAGCCTCACTTATCAGCGTTATCCTTAGTGTTTCTTGTCATCTAGACTGGTTTCTCTTTGAACATTGTAATCTAGGTAGGCGTGTGTTTGAGCCTTGTAATCTAGCCAATCCTGTGCTTCAGCCTTGTAATCTACCCAATCCTGTGTTTGAGCCTTGTAATCTAGCCAATCCTGTGTTCGAGCCTTGTAATCTAACCAAATCCTGTGTTTGAGCCTTGTAATCTAGCCAATCCTGTGTTTGAGCCTTGTAATCTAGCCAGTCCTGTGTTTGAGCCTTGTAATCTAGCCAGTCCTGTGCTTGAGCCTTGTAATCTAACCAATCCTGTGTTTGAGCCTTGTAATCTAACCAATCCTGTGTTTGAGCCTTGTAATCTAACCAATCCTGTGTTTGAGCCTTGTAATCTAACCAATCCTGTGTTTGAGCCTTGTAATCTAACCAATCCTGTGTTTGAGCCTTGTAATCTAACCAATCCTGTGTTTGAGCCTTGTAATCTAACCAATCCTGTGTTTGAGCCTTGTAATCTAACCAATCCTGTGTTTGAGCCTTGTAATCTAGCCAGTCCTGTGTTTGAGCCTTGTAATCTAACCAATCCTGTGCTTGAGCCTTGTAATCTAACCAATCCTGTGTTTGAGCCTTGTAATCTAGCCAGTCCTGTGTTTGAGCCTTGTAATCTAGCCAGTCCTGTGTTTGAGCCTTGTAATCTAGCCAGTCCTGTGCTTGAGCCTTGTAATCTAACCAATCCTGTGTTTGAGCCTTGTAATCTAACCAATCCTGTGTTTGAGCCTTGTAATCTAACCAATCCTGTGTTTGAGCCTTGTAATCTAGCCAGTCCTGTGCTTGAGCCTTGTAATCTAACCAATCCTGTGTTTGAGCCTTGTAATCTAACCAATCCTATGTTTGAGCCTTGTAATCTAGCCAGTCCTGTGCTTGAGCCTTGTAATCTAACCAATCCTGTGTTTGAGCCTTGTAATCTAACCAAAACTGTGTTTGAGCCTTGTAATCTAACCAATCCTGTGTTTGAGCCTGGTAATCTAGCCAGTCCTGTGCTTGAGCCTTGTAATCTAACCAATCCTGTGTTTGAGCCTGGTAATCTAGCCAATCTTGTGTTTGAGCCTGGTAATCTAACCAATCCTGTGTTTGAGCCTTGTAATCTAACCAATTCTGTGTTTGAGCCTGGTAATCTAGCCAGTCCTGTGTTTGAGCCTTGTAATCTAACCAATCCTGTGTTAGAGCCTTGTAATCTAGCCAATCCTGTGTTTGAGCCTGGTAATCTAACAAATCCTGTGTTTGAGCCTTGAAATCTAGCCAATCTTGTTTTTGAGCCTCTTAATCTAACCAATCCTGTGTTTGAGCCTTGTAATCTAGACAATCCTGTGTTTGAGCCTTGTAATCTAGCCAATCCTGTGTTGGAGCCATGTATTCTAACCAATCCTGTGTTTGAGCCTTGTAATCTAGCCAGTCCTGTGCTTGAGCCTTGTAATCTAACCAATCCTATATTTGAGCCTTGCAATCTAATCAGTCGCGTGCTTGAGCCTTGTAATCTAACCAGTCCTATGTGTGAGCCTTGCATTCTAATCAATCGCCTGCTTGAGCCTTGAAATCCAGTTATGCTGATGTTTAAGCCTTAACTCTTTCAGTCTCAAGAGACACATTATGTATCAGTTGCTACTCCTCAGAAATTATAATAGTTTGCATTATTCTCTTACTTTTTCCTGGGGGGGGGGGGGGGGAGGGGGGGGGGAATTACATTTTACTAAGTAAATATGGCTTCTGCATTGGTCACATCATTGTCTATCTGGCTTCTTCAGAAGGAAATAACGCCTAAACTTTCATTGCAGAGATCTTTTATTCCTTGAGGATCTCCTAACAAACTTTCTGGTACTGAAAAAAAAAAAAAAATTATAAAAATCCGGCCAGTTAGATGTTTTTTCCTCTCTCTTTTTCTGGAAGCCAGCGAACTATTCACAACAATGCCCGGATTGTGTTTGAAGAAAACAACAACAACAACACAGCGGTAGCCAAGGCGTTTGTGCTCATTAAGACATGAAACTGTGAATCGATAGACTGTAGTTGAAGAGGCAAATAACTGGAACAAGAACTCGTCCAACAGATGGAACAAATACAGAATATCAGATATTGGAGCGCCAGGCCATCTGTAAAGCCATGATGCGATTCACTCTGAATAATCGAATACAGATGGAAGATTCGATCCACTCAATCCTGCCGCACAAAGATGATTCACGGTAAACTGGACTTCTTTTTAGTCCAGATTCAGAGTTAAGTTTTCTACTTCTGGGGAAACCGGACTGTTTAAAAGTCGAAATTTCTAAAAAGAGTTTTCTGTATCTTGGGGATTTAATCAGGGGTACTGCTGTTGTAAAACAGCACATTGTAATATTGTGAAATTCACAGTGCGGTGTTGTAGTACCAGGTATACTGCGGGAGGTATTGCCGTTTTGAATGTTTCACATATCCTAGATCCCTGCATTGTTAGTTGGGGTGTCGAGTTGCATTCCTCTCTACACTTCTCATTCAGCAGATCATTCTGGAATTTATGTTTACTTATACTCTGTTATCTATACTGAGATGTGGTCAGAAGTCTTAGGCAACAAGTAACGAGGTCATAAGAGACACTAAATTATTATAGGCTAGAGAGAATAATGCACCTGGGTGTAACCAGAGGGTTCGACCGGCACACTACGCTCAGAGGAAAGACAAGACGGCCATACAACCAGACTACGACCGACATAATTAGTATTGGAACTCTGCGCTGGCTGCTGAGGTTGGGGGACGGAGCACTTATGGGAATGCCCCGAGTGATGTGATGTCAATTGACTCAACTCAGCTCAACAACTATACATACATATTGTTGTGTTCAATATATGAGTATATGCAAGGGAAGTTCATTTTTGAACGTAAAACTTGGTGCGGTGCAGCATACATTGAACGGAATGGGAAGAGAGAGAGAGAGACGGTCAGCTCCAAGACCCCGGAGAGGAAGGATGCGGTGATATAGGTTCTAGTCTGGGTGTTGCCAGACTAGTCCTGCACACCCGCATGTTACGCTGGCGTTAGGTGTCCAGGCTTTCGGCTAGAGATGCTGCAGTGCCCGGGCCAGCGTGACAGAAGCTCGTGTGGTGAGATGAGAGATCTCAAGTACGTGTCAGGCCGCAGACGGAAGGTCGGGATAATCTTCACTAGGTATTGTGCATCGGCCTGTATGATCTTTCTAGTGACAGTGTACCCAAGGGGTGGGTGTCATAGAGACAGACACGTAATCACGAGCAGTGGGTTTGCACGAGCAGGTAATGTTTGCATGTAGTTAACCACGGAACAGAGTGGCAGTAGAAGTATAGCCCAGAGCCTCCTGAGTGTGTGTCGCCTTGATAGTGAGAATGACTGTGGCAGTATAGAAGTTCATGTCTCGTGATGCCTTTCATTATCTTGGTGCTGAAATACATTAATTCTGCTTTGACGTTCAACATGTATCCGGCGTCCTCTATTGCTGTTGGGCGGGAGTGGTGACTTGTAACTGTAACACTGTTGAGCATACCTAGATACTTGGCAAGTGTGCGGTGTATCAAGCGAACATCGCACGTGACACACATCTTAAAAAAAAAACTGGCAAACTCAGTCTATCTATTTATCTTCTTTTACCCCACCAGGACATCACACAAGCGATAAACACCCGATGACACAAAGTGCCACCATAGGGATGAGCATCATCTGTGGAGAGGTCCCAGAAACCGAGTTTAGCCATTAGACCATATTTAGGCCATGCTACACTGTGGCCCCTGGCAAAAGCCAGAGTAGGGCTTCTAATAACGAAATATTGCATCCCACAATTGGATGACAAGATGTGCGGCTAACTTAAAACCAGATTCAGCCGACAGCCATAGTCATCGGACAAATAAATTGTACAGGCAAATTGAGAAATTGCTTACCTGCTTTGGCAAAATCATCTTCGACGACTTTTGGTCGATACATGACTTGTCTATCCCAAGTAGTGATTCTACCTACCCTAATATCGCTATAATAATTACTTATCTCTGCTTTGCAATGCCATTACTAGTCTCCCTTGGCAGAAATATTACGTGTTTTCTTGAGTAAAAAGACGAGTTACTTCCCCTTCAAAAACGTTTTTAATTGTGTCCCTTGGTAGACATATTATTTGCTTCCCTTTGATGGAAACATGACTTATCTCCCCTAAAATATTTCTATTTCTCTCCCCCAAATATAGAATAACAATTGGGGAAATAATATAACCGGCACAAAACACAGGCGTGTATTGACGAAACACAACAACGATTGTGTTATGGTAATGGCCTGTTTAGCTCACGGAGATCCCAGAATTTTGGCAGACAATGCTTAAAAGCTCCGGGAACAGCTGAAAGCGTTTTATCCAAATTTAGAATCCATAAATTAGAGGAGTCACACAATTGAGGCCCAAACTTTACGGTTCGATACGCCTGGAATAAAGCAGAGGTGCGTGGACAAAGGGCCTTCCTGGCGCCACGACGCAGCAAAGCGTGGACACTACCAACAATGGAGACGGGAGCTAATGTCCATCTTTTATGTTTTCACGTGTGCTCTCTCCTTCTCATTCACACTCCTGTGTTTGCATCTTTTCTCCCTGTGTTCACTCCAGCAGAGTTCACGTATCTCCTACAATAGTTCTTATCCTACTTCTGTTCTGTCCAATCTATTTAATACAGCGCGGCGACAGAAAGCCGACTTTATTCCAAAACCTGTTTATTTTCTGACATCTTGTTTCGTTACTGGAGAGAGAACGCCACATTGTACTTTCTTGGATGAAATACAGACTGGCGGAGGAGGAAGAGTTGAGGGAGGGGGGGGGGGTGGGTGTGGTCCCCAAATGGAGAAATTACAGACTGGAGGGATTGTCCCCAAGTTGACGAATTGCTTGTATAGAAACTGTCCCCAAGTTGACGAATTGCTTGTATAGAAACTGTCCCCAAGTTGACGAATTGCTTGTATAGAAATTGTCCCCAAGTTGACGAATTGCTTGTATAGAAACTGTCCCCAAGTTGACGAATTGCATGTATAGAAATTGTCCCCAAGTTGACGAATTACTGACTACAAGGATTGCCGCGGCATAATGGATAATGACAGATCTTAGTCAATAACTAGTCTCCCATCTTGGAATGGTTTTACAACGGCTATGCTCCCATTGTGGACAGTTTGACAGCTACTCTCACCTCTTTGACGACTTAGGCAACAGCTACTCTCTATTCTTTGGCAACTTGGACAACGAACATTCTTCCCTCCTGGACAAACAAAAACAGCTATTCTTTCTTGCTGGAAAAACTAAAACAACTCTCCCTCCACCCCCTGGACAAGTTAAACAACTTTTATCCTCCCCTGGACAGTTTAGACAACTATTCTCCCCTCCTAGACAGTTTAGACTATTCTTCCCTCCTGGACAGTTTGGACAGCTATTCTCCCCTCCTGGACAGTTTAGACAACTATTCTCCCCTCCTGGACAGTTTAGACAACTATTCTCCCCTCCTGGATAGTTCAGACAAATATTCTCCCCTCCTGGATAGTTCAGACAACTATTCTTCCCTCCTGGACAGTTTAGACTACTATTTTCCCCTCCTGGATAGTTCAGACAACTATTCTCCCCTCCTGGACAGTTTAGACAACTATTCTCCCCTCTGATACAGCTACAAACATTATATAATTCGAAAATGAGTGACAGTTTACAGACACAGAAGCCTCTCCTTTACCGTGGCACACGCGATCACTTTCTCTGACATTCTAGTCATTCACTGTTTACATTATTATCACAAAAATGACAGTAGACAAGAACGTAAAGATAAAATGCATCTCAGTGTTCGATCTCTTGTTTTTCTTTTCCCCTGTGTTCGTCGGCTGTAAACTCCGGCGGAAAGGTCTGGTTGTTTTTCCACTCCTGAATTTCAATTTTGATCCAGAACTTGAGTTTTGCTTGCACATCCGTTTTACAGATATGATTTTTTTGTAGAAGAAGAAAAGAAGAAGAAGAAGAAGAAGGAGAAGAAAAAGAAGAAGAAGAAGAAGAAGAAGAAGAAGAAGAAAAAAGAAGAAGAAGAAGAAGAAGAAAAATAACAGCAGAAAGTCAGAAATACATTGCTCTCTCTCTCTCTCTCTCTCTCTCTCTCTCTCTCTCTCTCTTTCTCACTCTCTCTCTCTCTCTCTCTCTCTCTCTCTCTCTCTCTCTAACTGAAAAACGACAAGGACGTACAGATGAGACTGATACATCTACATTAAACACGATACATCTACATTAAACACA